TTTCATACACACACACACACACACACACTTACTCAGCTGTGGTCCGGCCGAGCTTGCTCAGTGCTGACAGGTACAGTAGCAACGTTCTTCAATCCGGACAAATGCAGCCTGGTTTTAATCTTATAATGGTAATAAGAGCGATGCGCCTTAAAGCACATCAGGAGCTATTGACCAGCAGGGTCATGCATTATTCAGAGGTCACATTTTTCATCATATTTCCCCTGTTGCTGTCACCATCAGTCGAGGGTCTAAGGGACACCCACAGTCCTTTCTGTTTACACACACACACTCTTAAGTGGCCTGGACTTACGTGTGTGCCAGCTCGGCCCCTTATAGTGCTAATATCCCCCCATCCTAGCACACATGCTAATTATTCCCTCATCTATAATGCATGCGCAGAGCTGTGCGGACTCTAATCAGGAGAGCACTAAACAGGAAAAAGGACTCCATTTTTTAGCTAATACTGAGGGACATGTGAGGGGACTTTTTTCTTCTCTTTGCTTCCTGCATCTCAAGGTGCTGTCTTTTAGCCCTATTTGACGTGCGGTTGACGCTTGTTAGCAAGTCAACAGACTTTAATGGATGTTTTCGTAAAACTTCTATAAAACTTATAGTGAGGAAGCAAGAAAGACAGTTTTCTGAAAATTGGCTTAAACAAACACAATGTTACGATCATCTGATATCAGTGAGTGGAGAAAAGATGGCAGGATGTAAATTTTACTGACGGTGTGGGGTTGGTTTGTATACTTAGCCCCTGGGTCTTAGCGGCTGTTAATTGGCCTCACAGTGATGCACCCCTCCGTACAGGAACAGGGTGGGCTTTCTACCCTTTCACCCTCTACCCTCTTTCTTTCTCATTCCACAGTAGGGTTCCTCTTGATCCCCCCTTCACCCCCACTCTTGCCTAGCCCTACTGTTTGAGGGGGTTACCTACTGTGCCTTCTTTCAATTTGGGTTCACTGCTTAACATTACGAAACGATTATTGTATAATGTCACAGATGACAGTAGGTCAGTGACATAAATTGTAGAGTTAGTACACTTTGATATATCTGATATGATTTATTTCTTATATTGTTTATGTAAGTATAATGTAGTATAATACAGTGTAGTACATTTTTAAAACCATTTATATGAAGCATCCACCGTACAAGTTCCTGTGAAGGTGTTACTACAGAAACAATAAGGAGTTAGAACAAGTGCGTTAATATAAACCTTGCAGCTGGAAATACTGTCAGAGCAGCTACAGAAAATTAATCTTCTTCTGACGAATCCGAATCAAGCATTCAACGGTGCTGTGGTTTATGTCAGGAATAAAACGAGACGGGGCATGCTGTTATAGGATAATAATCAACAACGGGATGTTGTGATGTGGCCCAACGTGAAGCAGACGTATTGTTACCATCCCAAAGATCATTTTCCATTAACAGCATGTCCCAAAGTGATGCGTTTCCTATAACAACACAACAATCTGTCGATGATTACATTGTTTTATTTATAAAATATATAGTATTTATAATATAAAGAATTATGTCATTACTACATAGTTTAGTTAAATCTTGTACTTTAAAAGTAACTCTAAAAAAGTCGTTCCTTCACCAGCTACTCTTTTTCTCTCTCTTCTGAAGTTAATGAGACAAAAAAATGCAGCTCGTCATGTTACTGAGAAACTGGAAACTTGTCTGTCCTGGAGACTTTCAGATGCCAGAAAACTTTACCTCTGACTGATACTGTTCCACAAATGCTACATCAATGCCTCACTATATCAGTGATTACACACTTTTTCATCCTTTATGTGGAGCGTCCACCATACAGGTCGATTAAACCTCAGAAATCTCAGAACTTTTATACCAAACTACAACTACATATTTCCAGGAAACGTTCCACAGACCCTGTGATGATTATCTAAAATAAACGCTACAAAAACTGGGTGAGAGTCAAGTCATTCCTGCACTCGACGAAATACAACAACCTGGGGAATATGGAGGAGGTCAGAATTAAAATTCTGTATGACTTTGCTTTGCGTCTTGAATATGATGTGAGCATAGGTATTATAGGTAATAGGTATTTTGTGTAGGTTACACAAGCACAAAGTGCAGTTTCTCATGTCAGCCATTATTTGTGGGTTGCTGTGAGCTGCTATACAAAACACAGTGCTGGAAAATGTTTGCCTTGCCTTTTGTGTTGAACAAGTTGCAGAAAAGTCCTGATTTTTCAGTGGTGTCACAAGGTTATAAGACTCCACTGGTGCGAATAATCTTTCTTTCACTGATCACGTCCTGGATTTGGGTTCAGTCAGAGTTGACTGTAATCACCTCACTAAGGTTCACCTGAATGTAGCCTGACACCACTTCTCAGTGTTTTGGATCGGACCTTTAGTAAGTACTATTGCTATGCTCACACCAGTCCAACGGAGTAAATGAACCAAAGTTTAATTCAAACATACTGAATACAGAAAAGGCCTGTAAATGTTACAATAAAGCAGACTACATAGTGCACTTCCCAGGACAAAATCTAGTGTCCTGTCTCTTCCCTGAGGCAATGTTCCATCTTTGGTCTTCTCTTGCTACTGCTCTAAAATATTTTTAACATTCTAGTAGATTGGCAGACCTATGTGTATTTGCACAATGGACTGGGCATATTGTTCTGGAGAAATGTCATCAAACACAAGCCAGGCACAAGTCTTCACTGAGCTGTGGCCTGAAGGCTTGCTACAGCACCCACCACTGTGGCACATCCCAGACACAAAGAGATGCCACTTTACACACACACACACACACACACACACACACACAAACCAAATGCACATTCAGAAATACTCAAGCAAACACAGGTACCATCTACCACACAAGATGTGCTAAAGCATCCAGACACACATACACACACACACACACACACACACACACACACACACACACACACAGCACATACACACAGACTCTCACCTTAATTGGTCCACCAAGTGTCTCTTAAGAAGCCTTTGAGAGAGGATGAGAATGAGGGAGAGAGGGAAAGTGGGAAGGAGGAGGGAGGTACTGGGAGCTCAGTGTGTCTTTTGGGGGGTTAATTACAGATGCAGATGCGCGTTGCCACTTGCAACATCTCTGAATTCATTTCCAGCCTCTCTGCCCTTCCCTGATGGCCCCAGGGATTCGTCACTGTGTGTGTGTGTGTGTGTGAGTACACAAAATCCACCACAAAATTCAGGAGCTAGGGATGATAAAGAGGAGACATCAGTAGAGGAGTGAAATAGGAAAATGTAAAGAAGATAGAAATGCAAAAAGACATGCATTGAGAGAGACTTGCCTTGTACAGAGAAAGCAGCACAGTTCAGTTTTCAGCCCGTGTGAGGTTTTAATCCCGATGTATTTATCTTTGCTGTATATTAAAATAAACCAGTATAAAAAGAGATTAATAGCTTAAGTTCAATATCAAGAAATCTGCAGTTGCATGTTTCATCCACATGGGGCTGAATGCACTGTGACAGTACAGCTGAGGAAAGTGTGTTTGTGTGTGTGTGTGTGTGTGTGTGTGTGTGTGTGTGTGTGTGTGTGTGTGTGTGTGTGTGTGTGAGTCTACTCTTCCTGCAGGCCCACCTTTCTCATACAGCCAGACTGATTCATTATCCAGCTCTAATTGAATGGAGTGGGTCTCTATTGGGATGAGCTGTTTAGATCCACACACATGCATATTTGTCCTCGTTGTTTGCTTAAGCCCAGCAGAAAACATAAATCATCCCGTAGAGTCACCCACACAGGTATATGGAACAGAAAAAAAAATACTGCCACAGTCATATAGTGGGCAAATTTTGTTTGTATACACATCAAAACAGTAATGGCTTTCTGATGCCGTTTTTTTTCTTTTTAATTAAGATCCATTTGAGGATTGAATGAACGTCCTAATGCGTATCAAATCAATCACTTCGAGCTTTCTTAGAGTGTGTTCATTTAAATCACATGTGTATTTAATTAAGATGATAGCTCACAGGAAAGGTGACATACAGATATGTAAGTGATTAAAGTTTTAGACCACCCCAGCAGTGTACACTGTCAGGGTAGCCAACACGCAGGTGTGTGTTTTACTCAGTTGGGTATGTGCTGAGTGGACAGTGTGAGTGTCGTTCTAAGCCTGCTTCCTCACATGCCTGCACATTCATAATGAGCATTTCACAGCTTGTCACAGCTTAATGGGAGAGCAGGAGGAGCCCCACAAGGAGATGGAATGGGTGATCCACCCACACTGACCGCAAACACCTCTGCGCCTCCACACTCTGACCCGGCCCTGGTCTGTGAAAATGAGATCAGCCATGGATATGGATTTAGAGTGGACAGTGAGAGTGGAGGACAGGGGAATGAGTGATGCTTTTTCAATATGAATTCAATATAATCAGTATTGGTGGCGAACAGTGTATTTTACTGTAATTTAGTCTAGGCCTTCAGTGCATTTTTACCACTAAGGAAACAAACTTTGATCAAAAATTGCCAATTGAGCATGACTATAAAGAAAATCCAACCAGATCATGGACCAAAAACATTCACCAAACACAATTCTCTCATGGTTAGTTAAAATCTATGATAAGAAACAATTAATAAGAAAAACTGTAAATGTACGTTTATAGTGTAAGAAGACTTATAAAGATCTTATAGTCCAGAAGACCCGAAGTGACCTTTTCCCCAACAAAATGGTTCCTCCTTTGTGGAAGTCAAAATGTGATTGGTTGATTCCAGTTTCTAATTATATCAGTAGTTAATCAGATGTGTAATGCCACCTGAAGTGATAGAATTAGACTGGTTATAGAGTTAACCTGTACGATTTTGTTTTCTTGAGAATGTCTTGCTAGGAGGTATTTTATGGTGGCTCTTTTTTATCCCATTCTAATTCTTATATCTGTCTCTTGTTAGTTTTATCACTAGTTTAAAACCTGAGGAAACAAACACCACGTAATTTGTTCTGTGATTCAATTTGTGAATGTAAAGAAATGTAAATGACTCTCAGCTTAGGCAGTGGTAGCTCAGTGGTTAAGATGTCAGACCACTGATTGGAAGGTTATGAGTTCAATCCCCAGCACCATTAAACTGCCACTGGTGGGCCCTTGAGCAAGGCCCTTAACCCTCAACTGCTCAGTTGTATAGCTGAAATAAATGTAAGTCGCTCTGGATAAGGGCGTCTCCCAAATGCTGTAAATGTAAGCTTAGCTTCTGTACTGAAAAGCGCAGTTTTACTTTTAGCCAAAAGCCCATCTGTCGCCCTTTTCTAATTGTTCCAGGTGTGTGTGTGTGTGTGCTTGTGCAGTATGTGTACATGAGTACTGTGTAACTCCATGCATCCGTGTGTGTGTGTGTGTGTGTGTCCAAGGTTCCTCATCAGCTCAGTGCTTCAAAGGCCTGGAGTGCTTCCCCCACCTCCTCCTGTATTCGCTCCCAATCTCTGCTCCTTTGTCTTTGTGTTCCATATTTAATAGGGTGGCATGAGTGTCGTGAGGCGCTACCTGAGGCTGCCGGCGGGGCCCACTGATGTCGAGTGTCTCCCCTGTCTCTCTATCTATCGGTGGCCCTTTTAAGACAAACCTTGAGTGTGGGATCAAAGGGAGGCATTGATGTTCTTCTTGGAGTGGAGATCGAGGGTCCAAGTGATACCCCCACACTGCCTGGACCTGTGCCACTCTCAAACCGGTGCTGCGTGTGTGGAGTGTGTGTGCGTGTGCATGTGTCTGTGTGTGCATGTGCACTGCAGAAACGGAACCACAGAGAATCTGTTAATTAAAAGTTATCATTAAATAGCTGTAATAAATTAACATACACTTTAGGAGTTGTTAAGCCATCCACAGATACAACACTAACTATAAACTGCTACTCTATCTGCCAACTCTCTCTCTCTCTCTCTCTCTCTCTCTCTCTCTCTCTGTCTAGATGACGTGTGATCATTGGCACTTCTGTTTACACTCTTTGGCTGATTTTATTGCTCTCTCTCAATCAACTTCACGTACAGATCCAGAACACATGTTTCCTATTGATCACCGATCAATGATCAATTAAGCAAGCCATCTGTTCAATTAGGAGCCCCTGGGTCCTGTTGGAGTGTGCTGTTATTCAGGTATTTGACATGAAGGAATGCTTTAATAGATAGTCTTACATAATTGATTAAGAGGGTGCATGGCATATCCTTAAACAAAAAGCTCCGTATTTTCCATAGACAGATCAGTGAGATATGTCTAGTGATATTTACTGACTGGCTGCTTAATCCACTGGCTTCTCATGACATGATTTCAACTATTTCTATCAGAGCCAGTGATGCACTGATATGAAAATCGCTGGCTGGTACTGATGCCGAAATTGCACGCATGTACAAGATTCAACATTTATTTTTATTTTCTCAGATTCCTCCACCTGAAGATGTATTTCTAAAATATGGATACTTGCACCTGTATTCGTGATATATGACTTTCAAATGAAAACCAATGTATGGATTGGACAAATAAACAATGCATACAAAAGAGGAACATGAGCTTCATGAAGAACCATGAAATTCTTTATTTCCCCCTTAAGTTTCTTTTCAAATGAAGGCAAAAGAAAAAAGAAAGCACTTGTTTTGCTGAAGTGAAAACTCCATCCATAATTTTACATTATTACCCCTAAAACAGTAATCACAACATTTTAAAAGGAAGACTGTACTGTTTAAACTGGGTACTTCTCATCGTTGATCAGTTTATATGTCCATATTGTGAAGCATCCTGAAGCATTGAGGGCAGTTTTTTTTCCCTTTCGTTTGACATGATACTATCAGCACTTCTTATTTACTGTTTTATACAGATTGTATACAGATTGTGGGCTGATACGCTGATCTCTAGTCAGCACAACGATGGACATTGTCTATAAAGAAACCTTTTCTATACTCTCTTCTATAACTTTGTCTTATCAAAGTTTTTGTCTTATAAAAGTTTTCAGCATCACCTGTTGCATATACTAGGTGTTCTCCAACTTTTAAAACTTTTTTAAATCCTCAGCAAAGAATTATTTTATGAACATAATCAAAATTATTCAGAGTTAGGCTCATTATTTAAAGGGTACAATAATATTTTAGCTATTTATTGGATGAATAGGGCTTTTTAATTTCTGAACTTTTCACTCATAGAGCACTTTTTTTTTTAATTTAAATTGTCATTAGAGTCAAGTTACGATTATTTATAGGCCTACTTGATTTGAGTTCTTGTGGTTGAGATTAAATCCATTCAATTCAAACGACAGGCTAATAACAATATGACCTCAGTAATAAATATAATAACTTTGGTAATAGTGTATTGCAATTTCCACTACTGCAACATAATTTAAGACCCCCAGACTATGCTTCATGGACCTCAGGGGTATCTAGACCCACTTTGGAAACCAATGTTGGTCTCATAAACTAATATCCATATGGGAGGATTAGACTTATGCATCAGTCAGTCCTGAGAGACAGCATGCATTCTCCCATTCCAGTATCCTTCTCTTCAACTTAGGTTTTTGGGGTTATTGTTTTTTTGGGTCAGATAGTCAGACCTCTCCGAAAGGAGGTGGAAAAAGGGGGCGTCTCTGACCCTCAGCACCCCCTAACCCCCTTCTATTTTGTACCCATTAACCCCTTAAGCAACAATGGGAGCTGACAGAGCCACTGGAAACAAAGGGCCAGAAGCAGGAGAGGGCTGGGGAGGACGGTTAAAACACCGCCCACTGCACCATCTAGAGCTTTGCTCCACTACTCTGCTGCTCTATTTTATGTTTCCTTCCATATCTCTGCTTCTCTCTTTCACACAAGGGTTCTCTCTATATCTGCACTTCTTGTCTGTCTGAGAGCAAAGTGACAGCTGAAAAGGCAACACATTGACTGTTGTCAGTAGGACATCTCACTGCTCCTCTCTCTCTTTCCCCATTCTCACTTTCCTTCACTTCTTTGCCACTGTATTGCATGGTGACTGATGTGTGTAGGTGGTGTTGAGTGGGAAGCAGTGTGCGTGCGTGTGTGTGTGTGTGTGTGTTTGGTAAGAGCAAGCATGCATGCTCGTGTGCGTGTCTGGCTTTTGTTAGGGATTGTGGGTGAAGCATGAGCACAGGGATGAGGGAGGAGGAAAGCGGGGGCCGTCTGCGGAGTGACAGTTTGGGAGCTTCACACTTAACTGCCCCTGAGTTGTCTGTGTGCGCATGATGCCCGCGTTCCCATGTGAAAGTACTCTCACAAACTCTCTGACCGTTACCATTTGCACCATCCTGTTCTGATATAAGGACATTCCAGAAACACAACAACTAATTCAACAACAATGATGCAGCTAATCCCATTAAGCTCTTCAGAATGGATGCCAGTTTGGTCCAACCTTTGGTAACACTGTCCTTTATTGGTAACGGGAGGCATTTATACAGGAAGATCATATGTCTCTTGGCCTTGCGCCAATCCTTCGCACATCATTTACAACAACATACAATTAACACACTGACACACACTTGGATGTGGACAATTTGGTGCTGAGTCAAACATTGACTCCCATTACTTTGTCTGTCTCCCTCAATTAAAACTGATTACAGCTGTTAAAAAAAAGATGGAAAAATATTTCTTGTGCTGATCACCATCAGCATGTTAATGGTAGCCAAGAGAAAGGATGCGTGTGTGTGTGTGTGTGTGTGTAGAGCAGGGAGGGAGTGGTTAGTGGCAGAAGGTCGGAGACACAGAGGAGTGTGGGATGAGACTGCCAGCTGAATGAGTGAGGGGATGAGGGGCCGCTTGAGCTTGAGGGGAGGGGTGCATTCTTGGGCGATGCATCCTGCAGAGATGGCATGAGGTAAGGGAAGGAGGGGGTGCGGATGGATGGAGGAGATGAGTTGAGAGGGGGGCTCCTCTCCTGCAGGCAGAGAGGCAGTGGGGACAGATGGCGTCCCTCACAGGGCTGAGAGAGTCCTAGTTTTCACCTGCAGCCCCTTGGGAAAAAAACAACCTCCCTTGCACTCGCAGGCCGCCACAGCCCAGGTCCTGGAATGCTCTCCTCCAATCCTGTGCACCCACAGAGAGACAGAAAGGGTGAGAAAGTCAGAGGGATGGAAAGGAAATGTGAGAGATGGAAGATGTTTGAAGTGAATCATGAAAACAGCAGCCAAAACAACAGAGACTAAAGATAAAGCTTAGGAAGTATGACACATATACGATCGGTTATCAAACTGCCAAACGGTTTTTGTGGAGAGGGAAGAGAGATTTGTGTTACCAGATGGACATCTACAAAACAGTGGAGTTAGGCCATCTTCCTTCTTTCCACCCACTCTCTGTCTCTTGTCCTCCCTCCCTTTCCCCTCTCTCTTTCTTTCTCTGTCTCGCTGTCCCGTTGCTCTCGCTCCTTGACTGTTGGATCATGCAGATGGTGCTTTTCAGGACAATGAATAAGGGCATCCAAGGTCACAAGGATGAGACAATAACGCAACCATTCACTATTCGCTTAAGCAGTGCTGGCCAAGGCTCAGAGAAAGTGAACAATAGTCCAGGGCCAAGGTGGTGATACGCATGTGCATCTGTGTGTGCTTGTGCTGTGTGACTCCCAGGGTCAGTGTTGGCTGCCTGGATTTTTCTGTCATAATACTGGCATGTGTCACTAACTCCAGTCAGGGTTGAGTGAACACTGAGGATGAGCATAGTGCTTCTCCAGCATTCTAGCATGCCTGAGCTGAGAGACAAATAATTACACACTACACAACCTTTAGTAAACCTTCCACAGTGTAATAGAGTGTAATAGCAGAAATGTGTGACGTCTGACCCTCAGTTCAGTTTAAACCAGTGAACTTCTGACTCAGAACAAAGTTTCACAAAAACAATACAACACCTGTCAATAAGTTAAACGCAAAGATTTATAATATAACTAAGCACTGAGATTCAAGAGAAAAACAATTAACCTCCCAAATCTAGAGGCTTCTGTTCCTCTTCAACTCAGACCACGTTTTCAGTAAGTTTCAAATTCACTGCAAAACATTGATTTTGTGTTTCTTTAATCATTTCTGTGTTGATTCTGAAGTATGTTTGGCTCATCACCTTGTTGAAATCTCTATCTATGGTTAAAGCCTGAA